GTCCCATGAACATCGTCAATGAAGCACCAACCGGGACCGCACACGCACTCTCTTCGAGTTATATATAGTGAACATGACAAAACATACATATAGCATAATCACTACCTTACCCTTCCCGAACCACATAAACAAACGAACTACGGGCTGCGCACCCGTGCCCTCACGGTAAGTCAATTCACAGGCCCTCACTTCTTTTTGGGGTCCGCTTCTACCCGGGGTCCGGTCCAACGCCCCCACTTCTTTCTGGGGTCCACTTCCACCCGAGGACCGGTCCTTCCTTTTTCCAAAAGTCCCGGTTCTAGAAGAGCTAGCTGTAGGTAGTCCGCAATTTTGCCAAGGACCGGCCCCCCAAATTTTTTTGCCCCCTAAGAACCCACTTTGCGTCCTGGTCGCCCGCCGCCAAACATGCGACACCTTGACACAGACGCGGAAGCACACTATACCGCAGCCTAAGGGCTGCGAATAACTAGGCACTAGGCATCAGTAAGCTCGGTCATAGCATAACTAGGCATGCTCCTATTCTGATCTTTCATTCTTATTGATACAGGTAAGAGAATCCTTACCCCTTGAGACAGCCTCTACTGCAGGTTCCCCAACGATATCCTCCACCAGAGCCTGTCCAACCTATGCTCCTACCTGATGGGACCTCAAAGACATCCTTACGGGAGGTTCCCAACCGAGATCCTCCAATGGAGTTTGTCCTACTTACCGTCCCCACAGCAGGAGCCCCCCTTATCCCACCAGCGGCCATTGGCCCCCCAAAGCAGAGCCGTTAGGTAACCAACTCTACGTGATCAGTCACTCCACAGCCCCGTCTGCATCCCCTCTACTTTTGGACCTCTCTTTTCATCCTGAACAGGTGTTGGACCCAGGAACCTCATTCTTACCATCAGTCATCATAACCTACTGAGCTGCAACATCTACTGATCTCTATGCGTGCTACGCTGAGGGACAAGTATGCAATCACTAGAACACCCCATAGACCAACAGCGTCAGGCTCATAACCTAGACCCAACATGCAGCAAACATGGACTAAATCCCATGGGTGGTACAGGCAGTGTCCGTAATCCTTAGATTCCGTACCATGGACCAACCCAAGGGAGGTGTGGTTTCGAACCCATGTCCGTAAATCCTCCCGAGTGGACATGCGTGAGGCGTGTAGGGTTTCGAACCCACAACCTCAGACCACGATGAGCATTTCCAACGGGTGCTCTACCCACTGTGCTAATCGGATGCTAGTCTGAAAATAGTTCCCAACTTTACCCACCCTTCTTCCCCCGAATACAAAGTACGGTCATGATAGCTGTATTTGGGGTATCTTTCAGTCTAAATACAGCTATAATGACCGTACGTTGTATTGGGGGGAAGGCCGTCCACGCAACATAAAGAGTGCTTCAAGGCGCTCGTTATTCAGCAACAAGATCCGTGAGGAGTGCTGGCGTGGGGCCAGCCGAAAGCGATCGGTCGGATCGCCCCCCGTTTTTTCTTTTTCTTTTTCTTTTTTGCACCCCCAGTTCTATCCGGTTCGTCATTTTCCATGATTATTTTCACCAACTGAGTTACTTTCGGGAGATTAACCCTCTTCATTTTTTCTTTTTCTTTTTCTTTTCTTTTTTGCCCCCCAGTTCTACCTGTTTCGTCATTTTCCATGATTTTTTCACCAACTGAGTTACTTTCGGGAGATTAACCCTCTTCAGGCCACCATGACTGTCTTCTTGTCCGTCCTCCATTCCCCCCCCCCCCTTCTTTTCGGAGTCTTTTCTTTGTGTCTCCTTTGGTGGCTTTCATGCAAAGATCTGTCGGATTCAGTCGCTGTGAATGTCGTTGAGTTGTATAACAACAACTCCGCCGTTTTTCCGTTTAGCCCCTCTTGCCGTTGGAGGGGCAAGTAGGACCCCCATCTCTCTCTCTCTCTCTCTCTCTCTCTCTCTCTCTCTCTCTCACACACACACACACACACACACACACACACACAGACACACACACACACACACAGAGTCACAGTCACAGTCACAGTCTGGCACAGTCAAGCTCTTTTCTGTGGAATTGTGTGTAGCGAACATGACAACACATACACAGACATACTTTTTCTCTCCCTGTCTCTCTCTCTACTTTGTGCGCTCTTAAGCATGCGAAGGTGCTCGTGTGTGTATGTGTGTGTGTGTGAGAGAGAGAGAGAGAGAGAGAGAGAGAGAGAGAGAGAGAGAGAGAGAGAGAGAGAGAGAGAGAAATAGGGAGAGAGAGGCGGATATTTTGACAAATGGAGCAGCCATTGCATGGGGGGGTTCGTTGGGGAGGCTTATTGGCAATTTAATGGAGCCCTATCGGGGATATCTTAACTAGTTGGCATCGTCAGAAGAACTTATCGACCGAAGGTTGAGGGACTCGTTGAAACTTGTCAAGCTTTGCGGACTTCTTCATATTCTTTTAGAAACGATAATCAAATTTAACATTCAATCTCCCCCCGGCGACGTCACGGTTCTGGCCGTTTGAATGACGTGAATCTGCAGGGCGCGGGAGCGTGTAAGGCTGTGAACACGCATTGAGAGATACTGGCCGATAAATAATGAAGATCAATGGCTAACATCTCCTGATCTGTGCAAGTGCGGACGTCATCCCAGTACCACGATTACTCAAAACAGTCGCTGCACTGTCAGGTTCTCCGGCCCCAGTTGCCCCCGAACCCCCCCCCCCCCCCTCCCCCCCAGCCCCCCGGTCCCCCGGCCTCCCGCCGTCCTCCCCCAGCCGAGGCCCAAGGAGCTTTGGAAGGGTGCATGTCTGTCTCCGTCCCCCTTCTTGATTCGATGGTTGAGAGAGAGAGAGAGAGAGAGAGAGAGAGAGAGAGAGAGAGAGAGAGAGAGAGAGAGAGAGAGAGAGGTGGTTAGCTCGGTCATGATCATGCAATGCAATTTGGGAGGGGCATGCTATCATCTTCACCCGAATAGAACGCCCGGTCATTGTTGCTGAAAGATGCCCCGAATGCAGATATAAGGACCATCTGTTCTATTCGGGGTAAGGGGATATTGTATGCGCACGGCAGGTATTAGGAGATTGAAAGATCATTCTGATCATCTGACTGCATCTGTATTCGAACTTGGGTCTGATTCATATTTCAACAGTTCATACCAAGTGGGCCAGGCCCATTAGTAAGAAGGTTCAAGGAGATTGCCAAGAGTAGAGTTGTTCTTTTTCTTCCTTCCTTTGAAAGAGAAAGAAAGAAAGGATTTGTAGGAATGCAGCCTGCTGGAATCACACCCGCGCGATCATCATCCTATAAACTGTCCATCGACCATCCTCCTTTTTCTTTCTTCTCAATCCTGAGAAGTGAAAGCTTGTATGCTTGGATAGGTCTATGGAGAATTGTTTCTGAATGTGGAGTGCCTTGGTGGTATAATCGAATCCGTTAGTCAATCGAATCAATTAACGAACCAATCAATCAATCAATCAATCAACCAATGAACCAACCAAGCAATCAATCAATCAATCAATCATCCAACCAATCAATCATTAAACCAATCAATCATTCAACCAATCAATCATTAAACCAATCAATCATTAAACCAATCAATAAACCAATCGATCAATCAATCAAATCAATCGGACAATCAATCAATCAATCAAATCAAACGAACAAACAAGTGGATCCAATCAAAACCAATCGCCCAGTTGACCCCCTGGTATGGGCAGAACGAAGGAAAGGTGGATTTGGGGAGAGGGTCGTCTTGTGCATAATCACGGCTGCATCACTCTCGTCTGCGCAAGTATAGTCAAACTCCACGATCCGATCACCCAGCGAGGTAATGGGAAGAGTATGAGGAGGAGGAGAACGGGGAGGAGGGGGAGGAAGGGGAAGAGGGAAGAGTACTAGAACTGGAAGGTGCAGGATAATGAGGAAGTGCAGCAGCATCAGCATCAGCATCAGCGTCAGCATCTAACGGTGTTCCTTCCGTCTGCCAGGTGTCTGCAGTAGGGCCAACAGCATCACCAACAGCACTATCCAACGGTGTTCACTGTGTCTGCCACGTGTCTGCACTAGTAGAAACAGCAGTAGCAGCAGAAGCAGAAAGAAGGTACTAGCAGCGGCGGCAAGAGAAGCAGGACGGCAACGAGGAGGGGAAAGAGGAGGAGGCGGAGAAGATGGTGAAGGAGAAAGTGTTCAGGCCATAACAACATCGCACAGATCTCTAACGATCACAGCAAGGGGCATCACAACAAGTACACGTGGCAGACGGAGGGCGAACCGTTGGGTAACACAGACATTGCTTAGACATAGCCCTTCTCTGAGCAAAAAGTACACGTGATAGATGGAGGGAACACCGTTGGCTACCTACTGTAGTATAGGCGTCGCTTAGACATAGCACTTGCCTGAGCAACAAGTATAGTTACTTTGCAGATGAAGGGAAAGCCGACAGGCATCGCTTAGACATAGCATAGCACTTCCATGAGAGAGCAACAAGTTACACGTTGCAGGTGGGGAGGGACAACCGTCGGATAGCTCATGCATTGCTTAGTTATAGCACTTCTGTTGAAGATAGACTTGTCTCTGAGACATAGCACTTCTGTTAAAAATAGACTCGTCTCTGAGACTCAGTCCCGTGGGTGCTATCGATGTGCTAAGCTGGTCTGCTCTACGTCATCACTACCATGCTAATCAAGTGCATGCTATCGTCTTCACCCAAATTGAACGCCCGGCGGTCATTACAGATGTACGTAGACTGAAAGTTGCCCCAAATACAGCTGTAATGACCGGGCGTTCTATTCGGGGGGGTGAAGACGGCAGTTGGGGAATGACGTGGCAGTTGCGTCCATCGACACGTGGACGTCTAATCTTCAACGCAGGTTCTTTTCTTTGGAAAAAAAAACACAACAGCGAAGGCTACACGTGGCAAATTGCAGGCGGAGAGCACCCGAATCTTATGATGTGAGTGGGAGCGTTGACCGATGATGTCTTCGTTGGTACGGTCTTGTCTATCTCTCGGTGTTACTAGTATGTGCGTGCTATATCTATATGCTATGTCTGGCTATGTCTGTGCTATGTGAGTCTCATGTCTGTGCTAAGCCGGCGAACAACAGAGGGCAGATGGTGGCATATGCCAGCAATGTCGGTGCTATGCATGTCTTATGCCTGTGCTAAGCCAGGAAGCAAGGCGAAGAAGCTTGTGCTATGTCTGTGCTATGTCTGTGCTATGTCTGGGATAAGGAAGAGCAGCTGTTGCTATGTCTGCGCACTGCGTGTTCTCTATCCGAGCTTGGCAAAGGCAGAGAACACGCAGTGCGCAGACATAGCAACAGCTGCTCTTCCTTATCCCAGACATAGCACAGACATAGCACAGACATAGCACAGAGCACAGACATAGCACAGACATAGCACAGACATAGCACAGATTCTCCGAACCCCCTTGGAAGAGCCAGAGTTGCGAGTCTTCACCCGAGTAGAACGCGGGGTTGTCATATCTGCATCGGACCTGAAACTTCCCCTCAATTCAGACATAATGACCGGGCGCTCTCTCCTGGCACTCTTCTTTTCTTTTTTTTTTCTTTTTTTTAAGACGTGTCATTTGAACCATTTCTCTCAATCTGTACTTGTCATCCTTGAATGCGCAAGGGCCATGCTAATCTCCTTTTTCTGTGTCGTTCAAATTGTAACGGATGTCCCCAAGGACGATACATACACGGATGTCTCTTCACTCTCTTTTACAGTAGAGAGAGAGAGAGAGAGAGAGAGAGAGAGAGAGAGAGAGAGAGAGAGAGAGAGAGAGAGAGAGAATGCGCAGGGGCCATGCTAATCTCCTTTTTCTGTATCGTTCGACCTATAACGGATGTCCCCCAAGGGCGATAAATACACGGATGTCTCTTCACTCTCTTTTACAGTACATACACACACACACACACACACACACACACACACACACACACACACACACACAGCCAGCCAGCGAGCGAGCGAGAGCGAGAGCGAGAGAGAGAGAGAGAGAGAGAGAGAGAGAGAGAGAC